GCTTCGGTCCCTGCGGGCAGCGAGCAGAGAGCTGGGCTCAGAGCGAGGTGCGGGCCGCAGCGCAGGCAGCGGTGTGTGCGCTCGGGTGGGATGCCCTGAGCCCGGCTGGGTGCCTCGGGGGCTGCCTTGAGGTGACCCTGAGGCAGGGGGGGGGGAAACGCAAAGCTCTGGGGGTAAAGAAACGTTGAAATATTTCTAAAAAGGGATAATTTTAGGCTAACGTTTTTCCCTAGGTTTTCAAATGGTGGTGTGCCTAAAGCACAGTAGGTGTTGTGTGTTCCCCCCATTCCCCTTTTCTTTCAAGTCTTTGAATTGAGTGATTGTTGTTGAGTCTGGTTTTATCTGCTGGCTAGCATTGCAGAAACAAAATGTGTTGAAAGTGTCCCTTTGCCTAGATCCGTGATTGGAAGTAAGCTGTTTGTGCTGTGTGTTAGAAAGTTTGAGCTCTCTGGGAGTGGGAAATAAGCTGTATGTGCTGTCTGTTAGTATGTTTGAGCCTTCTGGGACCAGGAAACTTTGACAGCCAGTCAGGGTGAAGGAGGAAGGGAAAGAAAACATTAATTGTTAATGCAGGATTAAAATAACCAAAACCTTTCTTCCGTCTCACTTGTTGACTTAAAACCTGCAGAGACCTTGCATACACAGAGCAGTGTGTTTGCTTTGTGGTCTGTAATACAGGATCATTCTCTCAGGCAGGCAGAGGTGGATTTGCAGGTGTGGTCCTTAGCTCAAAAGCCAGGTCTGGTGTCAGTAGATGCTGTGACAGTGCTGTGTTTAGTAACCTATCGTTTAAAATGTCAGAGCTGCCAGAGCTGAGGAGGAAAATGTAGATAACTCGTATTAATCTTCAAGGTTGTCCTTCTAGCATGTTGCAAGCACCCTAGTCTAGCTCCATGTCCCATGCTTAATGGTGTATGAAAGTGTTTCCACATAACTGCTTGATCTGCTTCTCCTTAGACAAACTGTTTTTGTTTTGCCTCTTCTGCAAGTTAAGCACTGGATGTAATTGTACTAGAATGGTATATAAATGTCAAATAATGTGTTGCTGACAGATGACAGTCTGTGAGTGTTGACATATGTCAGCAGTTCCATAAACACTGGTGACAGCCCTCAGTTGTTTGTTCCCCTTTTTCTGTTTGCAAATTACCTAAATACTAATGGATTATTTAAAATACTCCTACCTTAATTGCATTCGTCAAATACCTTGTCTTGACAATTGCATTATCTGACACCTTTGGTAAGTTAGTATTGCCCAAATAAGTAAGTTGACATAAATAACATACCTGCATGCCAGATCAGCATTTTGTAACTACACATGATGAAACTCAGATTGTCTGTATCTGTTTTGTATACGCAATGTTCAGTGACTTGATTTCTGATGATAATGCTTGTTCTCTAGTTCTGTGCAACATCCAAACTGCTGGCATCAAGAACAGGAATGTAGGAGCTGGAATGATTCAGATTCTTTGGTGTTGGATGAATATCAATGTAGACATTTAGACCAGTGGCTGGAGAGGTAAGCAATAAAAGTGATATTTGTTTAACTCTTCACTTTGCTGCACTCTTCTCTCTAGGAATCCAACAAAACCTTGGATGTGATTGACTGTTTTCTAATAACACAGTAGCAGAGAGTTAGAAAATGATACCTGCATTATGCAAGAGTAGGCATCCCTGCCCATGGCAGGGGGGTTGGAACTGGATGATCTTAAGGTGCTTTCTGACCCTAACTATTCTATGATTCTATTATTCAATTTGGCTAGTTGAAATATATGCCATCAACAAGTATTCCATATGAAAGAGATAAATGGTATATTCTAAGGCAGTGGTTTAAGCCTTTATTGCTGAAGTCTTCAATGTTAGTATAAAATTTCCATTGAACCACTATGCTGTTCCTTTTTACACTTTGCTTACGTGTCTTGATGTGTAAGTGTGGACAAACCATGATGTTTGTCTCCTCACTTGACAGTGCATTTGGTGTATTCAACTGTACTGCAGATTTTAGTAAGTACTGGGTGTTTTTGTAGTCCAGGTACGAGGAGAAGTGAGTGCTTGGATATGTGTAGAAAACTGAGTAGAATGTAAGTTAGAAGAGGTGAAATATTTTACTGGGGGCACAAGAAAACTTTTTAAATACGATTTAAACATCTCTGTGTGTTACACTGTATGAAGGGGATTGTCATTTCTGATGGCATGTTTAGTGATACTTGCATTAATCTACTGAAGACCTTATGAAAGCCCTTGTATTCAGGAGTGTTTTCGGGGTCTTTGCTATCATCAAAAAATATCAACACTGTTGTGATTATGAGTCAAACTGGATGTGCCAGCAGCATTTTGTCTTTCTATTTTGCTGAGCAGATATGTTCCTTTTTAGTATGGAATCTTTGTTCCATGTTAAAATGACATTGGCATTGTGGACAGTAGTTTCATCTGTTGATGTGAAACTGTTTAGGGAAAGTAAGACTAAGCTAAATCTACTTCTGTATTAACTTACATTAAATATTGAGACATGAGCATTGAAAGAAGTGGACAGACTGAAAGGAGTTGTTTTCAGTGCTTCAGAACACTATAGCATTATACAATTGTAACTTACTACATTTGGATGTTAATGAGGAACCTGGTGATTCTCCACTCAGAGAATGACAGTGATCCAGCTGATTAGTTAAGAGCTTCTTAACTCCCTTTTTGGGGCTTTATACAACAAAGTTTACGTTCTTGAAATGATTGTGTTAGGATATGATGGTGTCTGACAAAATTTTAGTTCTGCTTACGTGATGGGCATTTTTCTGTTTCTTAAACATCTAAGCATCAACCCTGTCCTCTTGAAGGACAACCCTGTGAAGTCTTTTGCTGATGACAGAGAGCAGTAACTAGACTGATTTTGGCCTCAAGTAATTTCATGAATTATGCTCTTTGAGAAGGTCCTCAAGTAGTAGGGAGAAAGGTTTGCATTTGCTGAGCACCAGTATGTTAGGAGGTAGTCAGGTCTGTGTTCTGACATGAAATTCACTTCATGACCGTTTTCTTTACCTGCAAAGTAAAACTGACAATCTTACATCACTGCTGAAGGTGACTTAAGCTGAAATGTTTTGATTTGTTTGACTTTGAACTGAAATAGAGTAGGGGCATGGCCATGGTGTTACAGTTATGGATCTGGTTTTGTCCACTAGTGAAGTTTCTGCTCATTAAGTATGTTGCAAGCAACAAATGTTCATATTGAATTCTCCATTGTTTTCCAGCTCTACAACACCAGAACATTCAAGGCCTTTTTCTAGTTGCCCTGACTGGGAAGACAGAATTGAAGACGGCAAAGCAATGAAAACATCAAATAAAAAAGTGACAAAGTGGGTATTGAACAATTATTAGCTATTAATTACTAACTCTTGCTGTGTTGGTTTTAGCAATAGCCATCTGGTGATCTCTGACTACTTTACATATATTAATGGGGACTTGAAAAACAGCCAGGCTGTTTGATTTCAAGCCTGAAGGAAGCCCTAAGGAGACAGTAGCACTGAGAAGTCTTATCTCAAAAGCTACTTATATGATCGTTTAGATTCTCTTTGTTTTCAGCTTAAATTGCATATTGATTACAGCTTTCCATATGAGAAAATACTGGAATAGTGATAGGAAAAATGAAAACCAGCCGTTGAGGCTAGGAGAGGGAAATGGCTGTTAGATCATTCAAGATTGCCTCCATTGTGTTGTCCATCTTAGTTTTACTGAGTTTAAGCTTTTTCATATTTGTATTAGGAGGTTGTTACACATACATGCCATAATCATGTATCATTTGATTTGCTTGTTGTAGGACTAGCAGTAAGCTTCTAGTACGGCAGCTGTAGCTCCACAACCCTCAGGTATATATGTTTACCTGTTACAAACCTGAGCAATTGGATCAACTTGCAGAACCTAATTAGGAGTGATTCATTTGCTTAGCACAACTTTCACTTCACTAGTAAAGTAAGAGTTGTGCTTACTGTCTGTCAGAGTAAGAATAAACACAGTTCTAGAGTATGTGTTTACATAACTTGCTATAAAGCTATTGAGGTTCTTTCCAACTTAATTCTAACTTTTTGTTTCTAAATTCTGTTTCAAGTGATTCTGCTAATCCAGCTGAAAGGGAAACAGATGAAGTGGTTCTGAGGAGAAGACAAAAACAGATCAATTTTGGAAAGAACACTCTTGCATATGACAGATACATTAAAGAAGTTCCAAAGTAAGTTGCACTATGTTGCATATTTCCAGATAAACTCTTACTTGGTCCTGTCGTGTGTCTAGATCAGCACACAACTTCAGTTCTCTTAAAATTATGTGAAAGTAAGTGAAGAAAACATAATTGATTTTGACCAAAGAGAAGCCAGATACTTTCTGCATATGAGCAAATTTAGATAAGGAGAATTCAAAGCTGAATGTTCCCTTTGTATATTGCTGTTGCTGGTAGCAAATATGTTTTAAATAAGTTCTGCATTAATCATCCCCTTGTGATGCTTCTGGTGACTGTGTTGCTAGGCCAGTGTGAAGTTAATCACTACCAGGAAATGTCAGCTTTGAATGAGGCTTGAGCAAAGCCTTGCCTTTAAATATTGGTAAGAGAAATCAGTCTTCAGTGATTCATCAGTAACTAACAAATCAAAACCTGGATTTTTTCCTTTCTCTCTCATTACACTTTGGGCTTCAGAGTCTGTCAATTGTGGCACTTTAAGCAAGATTTTTTAGCCAGGCTCCTCTGCTTACTGCAGAGCTGCCAAGATTCAGAAGCTAGTCTGTACTAATGTGTGGATAGGGTTTGGGGGGGGGGGGGTGGGGGTTGTTTGGTTTGTGTGAGTTTTGTTATTTTGAGGGTTACTCTTAGAGGTGTTTTTCTACATATGGCTAGCTACTTACAGTTGCCAGCTTTCTATGGATTCTGCCTGTAAGAGTCTGTTGTGAAAACTGGCAGCTAAGTGCAGTGGACACTGCAAGCATGCTGTTGAGTAAAACTTGAAAGACGAGATAAAATGACTAAAAATCAACAGAAGATGCAGTAAATAATCAGATGTTACACAGTGTCATGATCATGTCTTCAGTAACACTTTTTTCTTCAAAGAGCCTTGGATTGCTTTGTGAATTGTGGTTTTGCTTGTCACTGTCATCAGTGGTAGGACTGCAGCCAGTCTCACGGTGCCTGGTGCTTGCATAGCTTTGCTGTCATCAGTTAAATCACAGATGGAGAATAGAAAAGGGTGAGAACAATGTTCAGAAAAAAAAATGGGATAAATTTTAAAAAAAAGTGTTCTGGGTGGTATTTTAACAGGGTAGTTTATAATATTGTTCCTTAGCAGCGATCTCTTTATCTTGCAAAAAGTGTTATGGCTAAGAGCATTCATCTGTGAAGCTGGTAAAGGGAACCACTTGAGACCAAAGTACTTGGTATGATTGAAAACATTATTGTAATATGCTTCCTCCCAGGCATAAGGCTGACTCCAGTATGGTAGGACTATAAACAGGATTGGTTTGTTCTGAAGATACAGTTTAAGTGAGCTTTCCAGTGCAGGGTCCAGATTTGAGATACCCTCTGAGAAACAGCACTTCCAGCTGTGGGGTGATCCCAGGCAGTATTGTTACAGTGTCTGCCCTTTAAGTGGGAAGGGGTATCATTTGATTGTTACCCAGAGAGCAGGGTGCTTTGTTTTCTATACTCCCAAGAGGCAAATGCTGGTTAGAATTAACGCAGTCCCCATTGTGGTAATGCATGGACAATGGTGGAATAAAAGTTCACTGAAGATACTTGTGGGTTGACCTCTGCTGTAAGCCAAGTACCCACACAGCTACTTGCTCCCTCCCTCTCCCCAGTGGGATGGGGAAAGAATGCGAAGAGCAGGAGTGAGAAAAGTGATGGATTGAGATAAGGGCAATTCAGGAGGTGAAGAAAAGGGAGGAAAAAAGCCAAACAATCCAAATGCAATCACTCAGTAGCTCCCACAAGCAGGCTGGTGCCCTGACAGTCTGAACAGTGGCCGCTTTGGAAGACACATCTCCTTCTTCCTCTGCTCCAGTTTTTACTGCTGAGCATGACATTATATGGTGTAGAATGTCTCTTTGGGTAATTCAAGTCAGCTGTCCCAGCATTTTCCCCTCTCAATTTCTTGTTCATCCTCAGCTTAGTAGCTACAGAAGGGGTCAGAGCAGAGTGGGAGAAAGAGAAGGCCTTGAGGCTGTGCAAGCAATGGCCAAAAACTAGAGTGTTATTACACTGTTTTAGGCACAGATCACTACAGGGGCTGCTATGAAGGAAATTAACTCCATCCCAGACAGGCTCAGTACAATGCTAAATACAAAGAAAGTGCACCTGACTTACGAACACTGAGGTAGAAGTAGCTGGAGGCTAGGATACTATGGAAGGGGTATGAGTTATGCTGCTTCTGTTTGATATTTGTCCATGGGCAGTAGGGATCTCCTTTTGGCAGATGTCAGAGTGCTGGACTGACTGAACCTCTGGTGTGATACAGTGTGTTATTGTTAGCTGTTGCCTGTGTGGTCTGTTTTTGACTGTTTTACAATATACACATTTGAGTTCAGTGTTTAAAATATGAACATTTTATTTATTAGGCCACTGATGTCTGTGTGATCTGATGGACTGAGGATTGGGGGGTTTCAAGAACAAAAATCATGTTCTGAAATAAGAAATGTCATTGTGTATTTACAGGAATCAGCGAATACCAGGAGTTCATCCTAGAACTCCCAACAAATTTAAGAAGTACAGCCGTAGGTCCTGGGACCAGCAGATCAGGCTGTGGAAGATAGCACTGCATGCCTGGGATCCTCCTTCTGAAGAAACGTGGGATCTGCAGCCTGTGTGTGTATCATAGAATTGGAGAATGGTTTGGGTTGGAAGGGACCTTAAAGCTCATTTCTTTACAGCATTGCTGACTGGGAGCAAGAGAGATCAGGCTCAGACATGGGAGTCTCCTTGAAAGCCTTATTTTCCTTCTCAGTTCTGTTAGTCTTTTGAGGTATTTCCATTATTTAGTCTAAACTCATCTGCAATAAGGTGCTTTGGGGAGGAGGGCATTTGGTCTGTCTGCAGTAGCACGCTCCCTTCCTCTGTGGGTTTACACTGATGAGCACAAAGCAAGAAAATATTTTTCTAGAAAAGGATAGGCAGAAGCAGAAAATTGGTGATTACTTTTCCTTGACCTTGATAACCTTTCCATCTTTCCTTCTACTGATGTCTGTGGAACTCCTTTTCTCCTGCAATAACAGTATGTTTTGAAGTGTTAAGAAGGTTAGAGAGAGATTTCTGCGCTCTCTACAGGAGAGCGGCAACTGTGTTCAGGATGGAAATTGGGGGTTTTCTTATCTTTTAAGAACTATGAATTTCTGTAACAAGTCTAGCTTAGAATTGATGCCACCTAATACTTTCCAAGATTTGGACTAATAAACTGGGAGGAAAAGAGTGAATGGAATTCTGTTAACTCTGTTACTGCACTGTATAAATAGTTTTAGCTGTGGTTAGTTGACCTGTGGTGGAAATTGCAGTTGTTTGCACCATTTGGACGTCATATGAGTTGAACTGTTAATTATTACTGTGGCTTAACTGTCTTCTGCTTGGAGAAGCAAGTCAGATGGCTGGTATTTAAATACTTCTTTTTATTCTGATTTTAGAAGTACAGAACCCTCAGGCAGTTCCCAGGAATGGTTCTGCAAAGATCAGGATGTTTCTGGCTCCTTTGTTTTTGATGAAAAGCAGAAGAGAAATGAGTGTGAAGATGAGTGCGGACAGACTGACTACACACCAGGGAGGTATGAGAGAGAACTTCTGTGGTTGACTTATGAAATAGTTCAGTACATGTTGATGCTGTCAGGTTTTTTGTAGGAAGTGTTTAATGATAGAGGGCAATTAATGCTCAGCTTCAGAGTTTGGCCCTTTTGCTGTGGAATGTAATCCATTGCTGGTACAGAGCATTTAGTGAGGAAAAATTACCAGCATTGCAGAATTGCATGATTTACAGCAGGAAAAAGCAGTGGTTTTTCAGCTTCTCTCTTCATACAGTGGAGTACTGAGGTTTCTTTAAGCACTGTTGGCAAGTGCTGAAAGTAGGAAACCTTTTTCAGAAGCAAGCGTGACCATTCTCAAGTAACAGTATTGCACCTATCTGCAGAACACTGGGGAGACTGACAGTGAAGCACCTCGTGCACTTCCCTGTTCACTGAGATACCTTGATCTGGGGGCATGCGTGTGGAGCTGAAATGTCTCTGATTCAAAGTTACTTCTGTGAGCCATTTTCTCAATTTCTCTGCTGTGACTGAAGAATCATACCTAAAAAAAGTCTTCATATGTAGCATGTGCCATTATTTTGCAGAATGTTGATAAGCATTTAAACACAGATGGAAATTGGTGTGTGTGTAAAATCTGTCTTTTCTCATAGTCCCTGTTCTCCAGATTCTTCTCCCGTATGGAAACGCAGAAAAAGAAACAATTCTGACTCCTCTGTGGTTTCAAAGAGCAAAAACCATTATGTGCAGATGTACCACACACTGGGAAGGTATGAAATGATTCGCCATATGGAGATGGATATTATGAAGCTTTGTGTATGTTTAGGCTTTTCTTTGCCTTATGAAGGATGTTATGGAAGAAAATACGTATTGGAACAACAAGGAGTTGGTCACCCAGTCTGGGACTGGAACAAAACGAGGTTAATGTTCAAAAATTGCCAAGAGAAGGGTTGAGTTTTTTAGGCTCCCCTTTCCTAGCTGCTGCATAGGAAATCTTCCTATAAATGAGAAATGATAGGGTGTGTAGAGGAGAGCATGGCTTAACTCTACACAGTTTTGTCAGCTCCACTTTTCTAAGGGAACAACAATTGAAGGTTTTTGGGGGTTAGTTAACTTTTCGCACTAACCTTAGTAAAAATGTTTATAGAGGTGTGTTTTTCTCTCTCTGCTTGGCCCCCTTATCTTCAGAAGGATTAAGAGGAACTGTGTTACAGAGGTCCATGGTTTCAGACCTTTTCACTTTCTTTTTAGTCTTACTGACTCAGGACATCAGGAGGCTCTTTCAAAGTGCTCAGAGTGGGAAGCCTTTGGTGAACATGATGAAGTAATGACAGTACAACATGGTATCGAAATAAGGTAAATACCATAATGATTGTGACTTTCTTTTTATTGCTTGTGCTATGAATGTCCTGTCCTTTCCTTTTTTATCTTTCTTTTCCTTCGCTGTTTAATACTACTTTTTTTTTTTTTCTTACATTTCTTCCAACATGTGGTATGTCTGGCTGTTATTTTTGTTCTTTGAGTTTACTTGGCTTTTTCCAGTCCAATTCATCTATTGCTTCCTGCTAATTCTGCCATTAAGTAGTGCTGGAAGAGGAAGAACCCCTTTCACCCTCTGTGTTGCATGGAAAGCAATGGCATTTCACACAGCTGATCGCTATTGCTGTTACTGGCCTCTCGCTTCCTCAGCCTAGGAGCTAAAAGCTTCCTCTCTGTCTCCCCAGAGATTGTTTTGTAGCTGACCACAATGATAGTTACTCATCTTCATGCAGTGACCCAATTCCAGCCAGCTGTTCTTCAGGATGGAACAATCAGAAACAGAAAAATCCCAACTTCTTTCTGCCTGACAGCAAAACTTGGAGAGATACAGACTGCAGGCTCGAGAGGTATAAAATGCAGCTCATCAATGGGGGGCTTTTTTTGCATATGAAGTTAGAAGCATAGTTGCTTTATTGTTGTATTTCAGTCCAAGCTTTTATTATAACGAGGTCTGTATTCTTTTTTTCCCTATGATGTTTAGGGATCTGTTGGCTAATATTTATATGTTACATGCTAAAATTCAGTCACATTGTCACATTATAGTCTGTATCAGAGTAAATAGGTTGTAGCAGTATTTGGTATAAAAAGGTTGCCATACTAAAGTCACTCAGTCTGGGTTGTTTTTTTTTTTTACTTATAGGCTTAAACTTTGTGGCAGTTTGTTGGAAGGACATCAGTCAGAATACCCTGAAAGGGTATGGGGAAGTGCTGAAGAGAGAATAATGAGGAAAAACATTTAAATACCAAGGTGAGTTCAAGCTGACTACTTATTTTACCTGTTCAGGTTCAGTAGCCCATATCCAGTATCATTCTATGGAATCCAGCTGTTCAGTTCAAGCAGATCAATTTCTCTTTTTATTCCTTCATTATATTAGTATTTTATCCCATCCTCTTGTATTTAGTGCATCACCTTAATTAAAAGTTCTAATACTTCAGACTTAGTAAACTGAAATGTTTACCTGTTCAGCCAGAAAAGAAATGTTGTTATCACCCAAATGAAAAGCACCAGGTTTAATTATTTCAGTAGCATATTTTCTGCCTTTTAATATTTTTATGATTAAATCACAGCTTTGCATTTGCAGCTCTAGATTTCAATGTAAATTTTCTCTTGGACTGTAGATTCCTGTGTGGATTCATAGGATGGGTAGTAATCTTGAGTTAAGCAGCTTTTATTGGCAGATAGTATTTTGTGTAGAATCATAGAATCATAGAATGTTTTGGGTTGGAAAGGACTTTTAAGATCATCTAGTTCCAACCCCCTGCCATGGGCAGGGACGCCTCACACTAGACCATGTCACCCAAGGCTCTATCCAACCTGGCCTTGGACACTGCCAGGGATGGAGCATTTACCACTTCTTTGGGCAACCTGTTCCAGTGCCTCAGCACCCTCACTGTAAAGAACTTCTTCATTATATCGAACCTGAACTTCCCCTGTTTACGTTTGAATCCATTACCTCTTGTCCTAGCACAACTGTAATTTGGTTGTCTTTGATCTACTTCTGATGCAGGTTCTGAAGCATTATGGACTTGGGTATAAATGTCTGTTTAACAGAGATCTTGAAATATTTTTGCATTACAAAACTCATTAAGAATATGCACACAATTAATTTTACACTACTTGAGACTTTTGATTTTTAGCAATTTGAGGAAAAACAGATAGAGATTTTCAGTTGTGCTAATGACATTTTTCTATTGACTTTGTTGATCTTTGATTTAAATTCTTTGGACATGAATAAGGCTTCTTGTGGATTCGTTTTCCTAAAGTGCTAATTCAGTATTTGAACATATCTAGTCTCTCTTTGTATATAGAAGTATCGAAGAAGGACTTTCTCCTGTGACAGAAAATGATTTGAAGGATAGGGATGTAGTCTGAGATCAGCAGATCAAGTCTTGGAAAACTGGTGCAGTCGCATAAGACCTGCACTGAAAGAAGAAGAGGTTTACAGTCAGCATATGTACAATCAACGTGAGGTGAAATGTGCAGGTAAAGGAAGCATTTCTCTACACATCACAGTTAGGAGAGCCTTTCTGATCTTCTAGCTAGTTGATAGGTAGCTGCCTTGCAGTTGTCTTTGTTGTAAATAAGGCTCTGTTAAGGAGTGTATTCAGTGGGTTCATAATCACTTGGTCTAATTAAAAATACATCTGTGTAACATGTAAAATGTAAAGTAATGTTAAATGAATTAAGTAGCTTCTCTGTAAAGCAACACATTGGTTTCCTGGCATGCAAAGATCAATATTTAGAGAGATGCTGCCTTTAACCATGGCTTTTAGATGCGATGAGCTCTGACTCTCAAATGGCAGGAACTTCACGTGTGGAAGGTGAATATTGCTTGAAAACCAGATAGTGGGTACACGGTAGAACTCCACACCACCTGCCTTTTTGCTAGAAGAAAATTTCTGTCTAGAACAGGAAAAAGAAATGTGGCTGGTTTAGAGCCCAGTTACATGTCCATAAGTTTTAATATATATGGCTGCTTTTTAAAGGAAAAAACCTGAGTCAGTAGGACACTTAAAATATAGCAGAAATGTGTTAATTATAATTGAGAGAAAAATGTGTATTATGAATTCATAATGACAGGTGAAAATGATGCGAGGGGTTGGGAAGGATAGGTTCACCTGCTTCATTTTTGCTTTGATAAATATCTTAGGACTATAGGGTATGTAGTACTCTGTTTGCAATAATTTCTGTCCTCAAAATGTCCATACTATCTGTAACACTTTCTTTAGTATGGACAATATGGTGTTGTCTTTTATACTGTACTTCAAGCTCACCACATGAAGTCCTCTGTTCCATTTGCTGTGACTGTAACACTATAGCTTAAAAGAGTAAATGTGCTGTTAATGACTGGATATTCTATGATTCTCTGATATACTTACGAAACACTGTTATCTACCTTTTTGTTTAGGTTTCTCCAGATCCTTAAGGATAGATTATACTTCTTTCTGCAACCTCTGCCTCAAGTGTAAAACTTCTGATTTCATTAAGCCTGTGCTACAATGATGGTGTATGTTCCTTAAAGCTTTTGTGAGAACGTTTCTGCTGTACCTGCGTTGGCAGATGACATGTGCATCATATTGTAAAGGCTGCTTCAGTTGGTGGATCCTGCTGTTGCTATTTGGAGATCATGCTGCTTAGAGTGCGCTGATGTTATGCTGGTGAACTGGTCCAACATTGAGTTAAACTGAAGAATGCCACCCCTTAAACCAAGGAGTTAACCCGTTTCGCCTACTGGACCAGAATTGTACATCCAACCTGAAGGACTGCTTCAAAAGAATGTAGATAACTTCAACCTTTCTCCACTTGTTAAAGACAATCTGTTCTTAGCTTTTGCATTGGGTGATCATCTGTTTGGCTTATTTACCATTCTTTGAGATAAGATACATTAAGTTAGCATTTGCCTAAGCCTAGTGAGAGAATAGAAAGGAAAGGCGGATGGTTTATCAAAAGCAGATCCCTCTCTTTAAGGGGATGAATGACTTTCAGTGGTAACACAGCCTAAATACCTGGATTTTGCTTTTATGTGTGTTGCAGCCTAATGCGAAGAGCCAGTCTACTGCTAAGTGTATAGAAGAATGAGTTCAGTGCCTGATGTTCCTAAGGAATTGGAGGCGAACAGCAGCACTTCCAGGTTTAGAGCTGCTCTTGTCCAGACTAAAGGTTGTGATGGTGTTGAGAGAGGTTCTGTTCTGTTTTATTCTTCTAGCACTGTGCTCAATGAGGGCTATGGCTACAGTGGTATTTAGACCAGCTTCATATGCCAGTTACAAGAATGTTTTACAGTGCTTGTGGCATTTTATGTCACATGTACTGGGACACAAATGTCTGTTAGAGCTGGGAATTGGCTCTTGGCAGGAGTTTAGTTTGGCTGTTCACAAGGCCACTGCAGAACTGTGGCAGTGACAAGGATGTCACACAGCCAGTGTACCCAAGGGCCTAAAGCCCATTGTGCTACTTATGTGGAATTAATCTGCTTCCCCAAAACTACTCCTAGTTCATTCCAAAACATTATTTCCAGGCTGCTCGGGCATGGGGTTCGGTAGTGTCCCAGCACAAGGGTGTCTCGGTCACACACCGAAGAGCTTGGAGTGAGTGTATACAAAGAACACACCTGTACAGCACTTCTTAAAGAATTAACATTTAGCACCTTCTTGCTCCAGTGTGCATGCTGTCATGTGGTTTATGATGATTGTAAATAAGGGAATGTTACGTTTTTGGCATTTTGTCTTTATGCTAAAGAATTAAAGACTTTAAAAATTCCTCTTACTTTGTTTTTCGTGTTACATTGTCTGAGTTCTGTTATAAAAGGAATATGTGTGTTCAGGAGTCCTTCTTATGTTTGTGTTGGGGTGTTTTGTTTGGGGTTGTTTTTTAGCCCTTGCCGAAAGGGGGAAGGGTGATTCAGAGATGAAATAAAGCTCTTGAAGGGAGTTCTCACCTTGGTTTGTATCCAGCCCCTCAGTTTGTATTTTGATACCGTGTCATGAAGCTGTATTTAGTGCATTGTAACTTAGTGGAAGGGAGCAGCTGAAGCCCCAGTGCTCATTCTGCCATGAGAAGGTGTCTTCCTCAACAGTATGGAGCTGTTGGGTGAGAGTAGTAGGCTGTAATGAAACACATAAGCTCAGCTGTCAGAGCCCTTAAGCTTTTGGCTGTGATGGACAGGGCCTGCATGGATTTATGGACATAAATCCATAGGATTTGTAGTCCAGCAGTCCTTAAAAGATCTTGTGTTTTTTGGTTGAAGATACTTAGGCTAGAAATAGGATAACCTGTGGCAGTTAAACTTGCAGTTAAACTGTGGCAGATTTACTCC